CCACGAAACAGTTCCACGCAGCCATTCTGGACTGACCGCTGCTGGGTTCTGTGGGTGTCCCAGATCACAAGCTGCAGAACTCAACCCCCACACCCAGCTCCAGGAATCAGTCCCAGTATTTAGCAGTGTTCAGGAATCAGTTTTTTTGTGCATACAGCTTTTCTACATTAATCTATGAAAGAATATACATTTCAGTTTAAAAAATAAGACAACTGTCATCCCTGTAGCTCCACTTAAACCGCAGAATTATATTTCTCCTCCAAAATGGTGTTACTGTACATAGACACACAAAAGCCAAGAAACTTACAATATGGCTTTAGCAACCTATAACAAAACTACTTTTTACTCATTTTAATTTACGAAGTAGAAGGACACTAAATACATGGAATTAGAACATGCAGAAAATGGAACTGCTATCTTGCTGACTGCAATAATTTGAAATTCATAAAGACAGAACAGTTACTGTAATAGTTTAAATTCAAAAGCGGAGGCAGAGTTTAATGGCAACACGAACGCAAAAGCACGACTTCGCCAAACAGCCAAAGACTGACTCGCAAGTCAAGGGGGACAGCAAGACGTGTCTGGAAGAAACACAAAGTGAGCGTCACACCAGTGACACAACCGTCACAGAAAGATGGAGTGCAGGTTAAAAAAGGAAAAGGAAGGCATTCCTTCAGTGCAGACCAGATATTGATCCACTCTGCTTTCTGAAGCATCCCCAAGGCTTCTTAGAACTGAGGTTTCCAAAGTTTACTAGGACATCTTACCAGGAAACACTGGTCAACTCAAAATGAACACAAGCGGACTTCATAACATATTAATAATACAAAGACTGTAGCACACACAATGACCTAATGCTTGAAGGAGCAACAATATCAGTGGTCTTGTTTGGATACCAGTCTCCAGCAGAATTTGTATGATCTGAGCCGAAGAAAGCAGGGAAAACAGCACAAACTGGAGCGACTGGTGAGATTCAACATGAGTCTCTTTGAACAGCCAAATAGTTCAAGTTCAAAGTTCATTTGCCATTTGTAACAAGTACATTGGAATTCTTATTTGTATTTGTTCTCTCAGTGTACAGATACAAACACCCTTCAAAAAAGGGTGAGCTAAAGAGCCTCTTAAAAGGCTCCTTTCAAATACATTTGAAAAACAAAAAAATCTTTACAGATGTTCTTTCTTACACACACATTATAGCCAGACAAGTCCTTCAGTTTATTTGCAACAGAAAGCACTGAATGTACACCTGTATTTTCATGTTAAATGAACCCACAGTTCATCAGGGGTACAAACTGATTCAGAGACTATTGTATACTGGATTACTAGAGATACTGAGACTGACAACACTCCAGAATTTAGTTTCCCTTCAAGTCTGTATGAACATATACATATATTTCTACAAAGCACTCTAAAATGATGCAAAACATATAAATACTACAGAACAGTGAAATAAAACCTTACTAAAAAGGGAGGCAAATAAATCAAGAGGCTGATTTTTTTGTAGTAGTGTTATGACACAGGTGTAAGAGCCATCCTAGGGTTACTGGGAAAAACCCAAGAGCAGGAAGAAAAACAGCCAAAATGGAGGCAAACCCAGCTCTAAAAGACAGATTAGGACACTTAAAAATCCTTAGTTGACAACACGCATAACCGACATTTAAATACCGGTGAAAATCCTGTTTACGGCACATTGCCTAGCTTTCACTTTCCCGACTTTTTAACAACCTTGTGACTTAGTTTTGGAAGATTCTGTTTTTTGAAAACCGTACAACAGTATATAACAAATGAAAATGGGATAAAGTCGTACAAGAAAAGTCAAAAGCGGGGCGGCCCAAACAGGTTCCCGAGACGAGTCGGAGCACAGCACCCAGCTGTCAGTCCGTCTGCGCCAGCAAAGGCTAATACGGGAGTATTTCTTTCCACAGCAACATTGTCTAAAAATGACTGCAGCCAAGTGCGATTTACAGGTATCTCGGCCTCCACCCAGCCTCCTGAAATAGGGATTTTCGCCGAAGTTAGACCGCGAACAAAAGACGAAAAGACGGTGTGGCCGAGGACGGAAGGTAACCGAGAGCCAGCGAGCACGGTCGCGTCAGAAAGCTCATTAGTCACACTCACCCAAAAGCGCTGCTGTCGCTCGACACTCCCAAAACGTGCCAGGTGGCTAACAGGTGATACTGTGACACTGTAATTACCTGCTGCCACTGCTGGCAAAAAGACGAACTCTCCGGAGAGCTCCCTGCACCGTTTAACAGGAGCCGCAGGGCTGCAAGACAAAGCCTGAACTGTTGTGGTTTGTTTTTTTTTCCGGCTCTGCCTGCGATTTCCTATTGCCAACAGCACCTAACCAACTGAACCCACGCTTTGACAAGGAAGGACGGGAGCTGAGGCCGAGAAGGTTTCATGGCTGCCTTACCTCCAAGAAATATTCCTACAGCTGGTCTTCGGAGAGGCACCCTATATGCGAAGTTCAAGCACGAGTAAGCTAAGGGAGATTTCCAGTGCAGTGAAAGTAATTCAAGACAGCGGTGATGGTAACATAAAGGAATGTTTAAACCACTTGGATGCAGGCCTTTATAAACATAATACAAACAACACTCACGCTAAAGTGAATTCCTCACGCTAAAACTCCAGGTTTGATGTTTGACACAACCGCGCGATAAGAAATGCTTTCCTTGCATGACCAGCCTCCCCTTGGCGACCGAGACACACTTACCTGTAGCTTCTGAAACGATAGAAGTCCCACTACTACAACGCCGCGAAGACGATACAGGTGTGTATATATACACACACACACATTAACAACGCATAAAGCAACAAACAATCAAAGCCGTCAAAAGTTTATTCTGGACAAAATGCAACATCAGTCTTTGCCGTTGTTCGCGACAGTGAATTTCCCGCAGGTGAGCTCGCCAGTAAAACGGCCAACCTCTTTCGCGGGCAAAGCCGCAGTGTGGAGGCAGGCAAGCTCACAGATGAACAGCTGTGCGCTCGGCAGTGAAAGTGCTGCTCACTCCGCCCCGGGCACAAACCCAGCTCCCATCTTTGCAACGCAACCTCCTGTCGCCCTGGGTTCCAGTGCCACGGCCATCTCATCTTACAGCGGGGCAGATAAACCGGCAGGCCCACGGCGCGTCACCCACCAGCTCGGGAGACGGCGGGCTCGCCCGTCAACACGGTTTTGGAATTTGCAAAGACGCAGGGCGCCTGAAGATAAGACGTGGAACAACCTCCAAAAACGGAGGCTACACATGTGCGGGGTATAGAAAGAAAAAAAGACAAGGTGCTTTTTGTTACAGGCGTCGAGACATAATGGGAGACTTCTTTAGCAATTGCTACACCTCCATCCGAAACTTCAGCGCGTTTCGTGAAGTTTTCATGAAACGGCCATCACAGAGCAGCGCTGAGTCTAATCTTGCCCTGTCTCGCCTCGGGTACCCGTGCCTTTCGCCACTGCCTGGCCGACTCCACTGGTGCAAATCCCAAGAAACCATTCCGCCAGCACCTTCGCACCAGGCCACACCGGGGCAACTGCGGCCCGAAAACCGCTAAACCACGACCTTCTCCAAAATGCCTTCCCTGCGTGACGAAGATCGTCTTGTACCGCCAGACACGACGAATTTCTTCCAAGACAGACACCACAGCATTTGAACAGATTTTTAATATGAATGAACCTCCTTTTTTAATATCGTTAAGCTATTCTGCATCACAGGGATTTGCGACGTAGACAACAGCAGGGAATTAAATACCCTGGTCTAGGCCAGGCGCCTCATTTTCATTGTGAGCACGAAATGTAATTAAAAATATTGACATTAAATAGCTCACACGTCGACGTAAAAACACAAGTCACACTAGATACATTTTAATGATATGATTTCAAACCGTGTTATATTTACAGTTTTCGTCAGCTTAATGTACGTGGAACCTCTCACCAGTTTACATTTTTTTGCTCATTCAAAAAAAAACCCAGATCTCCATCACAGCTCCGCGTTACTGCACCTCGATCTGGTGATTTAATATAACCAGCGCAGCCATTCAGGAAATTCCGAAACACCGTGTGCTTCTCTCGACAGAAAACTCAAAACATTCAATGCGTGTATTTGCTGGATAACAGCATAGCCCGAATCACCAAATTAATTTAAGCAGCGCAACGTGTAATTTATCTTTATCTAATTGTATTGAACACAAGCGTATCATTTTCCCTTGAGTTATAATTTGTAACAAAGCCCCTCAATCAGATAATCAGATTTAGTACAGAACTAGAATTTCAGATTTGTGGACTGATATGAAGTAACGTCTCAAACCCCAGCGTTTTGCCTGAGAAGCTCAATTTGTGCGCGATAATCTTTGATACCCGCAGACCTTCACACGACACAAAATTCGCAATTCGACTATTTCGTTTTTAGCTTGCGGCCCGCTAAAGCATCTAAACAATGTCAATTGGATGATATTTCCCCCAGCTGAATAACTATTCACGAAGAAGCAGCCCGTCTCCGGTGTGTAAGCGATGAATTGATTGATTGGCACGTCCATCCCGAGTACCTCTGTTTACAGTTTACACTTCACTGTGCCGCTCCGAAATCACGAACTGCCATTGATTTTCATGCTCCATTGCCGGGTTATTCTAAGCCAGACAATACTCAACCCGTTTACAGGTACCTGGCGAAACATACAGCGAACTTCATCTCCGCACATAAAGTCTCAAAACACCTAATTCATTGGCCACTGTGCTCCGATCTGCTCGGCATTGATACTGTAACATGTTTACATTCAAGGTTACCTCTCTGCGACGCTACAAAGGGAGTAACAAAAAAACAACCAGAGCCTCAGTGAGAGCTGCCGTGTTTCCGAGCGGCCGACAATTTCAATCGCGAAGCTGGGCTGGAGGGAGATACTGTAGTAACAGCCAAGGGGCAGACGCACACCTCCTCTCGCCCGGCCGTTCCTCCGTCGCCCTCTCCAAAACGCGGCCAAGGCGCAAGCGAAACCCCCCTACCCACCTGAGGAACAGGAGATGAGGAAAACGGCGAAGGCTAGTTTCGTCGCTGCTCCCATTTTCAGTCCGCGAACCAATCCGGTATTGCAATAAAATCCTTAAAAACGACGAAATTCCCAGGATGAGCACCCACTCGTAAAATGTCTTCTTTTATTGAGTCATAGATGTGCGCGTTTATGTTTCGTATATATATTTTTAATGAAAGCCAAGCCTTAAATCAAGGAATAAGAAATTTCTTAAAAATTTTACTGTGACAAACTGCCGCTGGCAAAGTCCCAGGGCAGGCCCCGCTCCTGAATTTTGCGTGTACAGTCCTGAAACTCAAGAGACATGTGTCACTTGACTGGCTGAGAGCATCAACATGTTTTTTGACATTTTTTTTCTTTCAAAATGATCTTATTTCGGAGACGCCACGTGTTCAGTTCGCAGATGCCCGCAAAGCCGAAGGCGCCTGGGCACCGATCAGTCCAGATGCTAGTAGTAGTAGTTGTTGTTTTAAATTAAAAATCTTCAGATCAAAAAGAAAAACATCGTCGCTTGCTGCTTGCAACAAAATACCTTTCCTTACGGACCATGCACCGAATCCCCCAGTGAAAGCTGGAGAATGTGCAATAGAAAGGTTTTAAAAAATGTTTTCTTGTAGTGTTTTTCAGTTTTCTCCAGGAATACTACAGTAGCGAACGCACAAGGCAGCAGTCATCTGTCCGAATTCTGTGACATATAGGGATTTGCATAATATCAGCCGAGTTCATAACGCATTCAATCACGACACATGGACATTGTATTCAGCCGCTGGGAGGGTGGATGCACATGTACTAATACTGGTTAAAATTCTCCCAGCGACGATAACGTCCCCGTAAAACGAGCCACTTTATCCCCCCCCGACACGAGTGATCCTCCCCGAACAGAAAAAAAAAATCCTTGCTATTTGGATCTCAAGTCCACGTTTCCAAACGCCGAGTGTAAAAATGCGTGGCAACGACTTGTCACAAGCGCAGGCTTCTTCATAATTGCACCGAGGACGAAAAGGCGAGATTCCCGTTTTCTTGGTGGTTTGTTTTGGGAGGGGGTGGTGGAAAACAGCACAGTCCTGTTGCTGCCTCTCGCCTGCCTGCCTGCCTGCCTGTCTGCTGTGGTGGGTAGGTACCCGATCTGAGGTGTCAAGTCCGAACCTAGCACTTCAAAATAACTTCAGTGCTCCACCAGAGACTCGCAAAATCCACCACGACGCCGGAGGAAAACCCGTGCAGTCACCTGGCCAGGCGACCCCTCGCCTCCGCGGCCAAGCTGTCAGAGAGACTCCTTGACGGCGCTGGCTCGCTTCTCTCGCCTGCCTTCCTCGCAGCCTCTCTCATTCAGCGAAAACAGACCCGATTCAAGATGGCGGCCGGCACGAATTGTTTTTGTTTTTTTTTTTCCTCCCCTCTCTCCTCTCTCCTCCTCCTCCTCCATCTCTACCCGGCCCCTCCGACGGCGAGCCGTCTCCCCGCACGGCGAATACCCTTGACTGACATCACAGCACGTCAAATCGAAAGGGAGGGGGAGCCACGCCAGCCGCCAGCCGCTCCGCTCCCTCGCCCAATCCCACGCAGGACACCCGCCTTGTGTGGAGCAGGTCGGGGCGCTGGAAGTCCCAGGCTCTCTGCAGCGCGCCGCGAAGGCGTGATTGATGGGCGCCGCTTCCTATGGCCGGCAGAGGGGCATTAACGGGCCGAGCCGTGGAGCCAGCGCTGCTGCCTGTAGTGCACAGGACTTACACGGGATGCATGCGTCGCCCTGGCACAGGCGTGGGCGTGTGCAGCACACGGGGCGATGAATCTTTTTTGCAAACCAGCGCTTGGGCATTTTTTTAACGCCGTGTCCTCCAAATCTAATGGTTTCACACCTGCAAACGTGCCCCCCCCCCGCCAGTTACAGAATAAGCAGTCTTCGCAGGTTTCTGTGTTGTTCATACACGTGTTCGGTTTCGGTATTTTATACTGGTCGATATTTTGATATTAATAACCAGAGATGACATGGACTTTGCGCCTTTTGGAGAGTCCGTTTTTTTCTGAGATGTCTTATCAAAGTCACAAAACCCTGTACAGTAGAGCCAGAACTGATTTCCAATAAACAAATTATGTTTCATATCAAAATCTACCCCGAAATACTCTTACCACATCTCATGCTTTGGTCCGCAGTGAAAGACACTTTGAAGTGTATTTATACCGGCATGTTCACGTTTCGCACAATGTTTCAAAAGTATTTTCAAAAATACATTTTTAACAAGGCGGAGAGACAAATGAATAAACCAGCTCTCTGTCTCCCAAAGCGTCTGCTACAGTGACTTATCTTGCTGCCTTTTGTTTTGGAAGACATTCCAAACAACATACAGTAGGTGTAACTCAAGAGCCCTGCAACATCCAATCCGATGACCACAGTTGTTTATTAGAAACTGGTCCCTCAATGATCACATTACTCCACAAGGGGTTTGTTATATAGGAATCAAGATGGAGGCAAACAGTTCAGATTTCAAAAGAAATGTTCTGTTCAGAGGTTAGGTGGCACTTCATTTCTGTCATCCTACAATGGGCCACTCTGATTCAGTCCTGGAAAAGTTTATTATCTTTTCTTAAGATGTGCTGCCTCTGGCACACCTGAACACGCTGCTCAGAGGAAGTGTTTCAGTGCAGCGGGTCTTGTTGGTTTCATGCTGAGACTTACGAACAGAACTATTATCCAGCTCAAACATGGATACATGCCTTAGCAGGACTTCATTAAAGGACAGTGGGATCTGCCACAAAGCCAGATTTCAGAAGGGTCTTCCACATATACAGTGTACAGTAATATACTAAATGAACTGAGTGTTTTATTGTGTGGTGAGTGTACAGTATAGGACTACTGACATGTACAGTACTGTATCGTTTCACTTATTCTATAATACAATTCATTATATTTTATAGCACTTGAAATTGTACAATGTCAGTGTCTCAATGCTCCTCTTTGATGATAGCTGCTGTTACAGTCTTCTCCAGTGTGTTGTCAGTGTAGAGTCCTCTCTGTCACAGGTCCCCAGCGCTGAGCTGTGATATTCTGCCAATGGGTCTCCACTCCTGAGGAGAAATTATTACTAGAAATCATACTGCATGTTCAACTGGTAAAGGTCAGTCTTATTTATTTAATCTTATTTAGTGCAAATTCCTTTTCCTTTAAATAAAGCACGAAAGGTCATGTATTTTGTGTACACTTTATGTATGAAAGAAATGGAGAATATTATGTACAAGTTCTTCTACTCTACAAGAAAAACTCTACTCTAAAAAACTCTACAAGTTTAAAGTACCTATAGATGACAATCTGTTACTTGCAGTTACATCCAATTTATATGATAAATTTCTCTTTAAGGAGAATAGGTCTCTGTAGGTTTCAATTAAATTGATTTATTCAAATAAGCAAATGTCAATGGGAAGCACCAAAGATAATGGTTTCAAGCAAAGAGCAGACCAATTTGAGTGATATATTGACTCAAAATGGTCAGTCATCTAGGTTAATGCAAGTGTAAAAACTAAGGTTGTTTACACTTGGAAGTTGTGACACATTTCTTGATCGCTTAATGGTATTTTTTCTCCAAATAGATGATAACTTGTATGGATCAACGTCTGTACAACCATTTTGTTGAGTCGTCTGCAATCATTTTCTGAGTCGTGGATATCCTTGCATAGTACCTAATATTAAATCAGCAGAATTTTGATTTTTTACTATAATAATTCCTATTTACTTTCATAAAACCATGTTGTAGTTTATTCTGCTATATTCAATTCTATACTTTTGTCTTCTTTGCACAAATTCCTTTATCGGCATATATCCTAATATGTTTGAGACAGAGAGAAAGTTATATTGTTCAAATGATAAAATTACCTCTTGAAAGATCTTTACATTGAAGACAATCTTTTTGGGATTGGGTCAGAAAACAAAGGAAGAAAGTACTTGAGACAAAGTGTTTAAGTACTGTATCTCTGATACTTCAAAGTGCATTTTTTAGTTGACTTTTTCAGCGTATTTCAAGCATTTAACTATGTAGATATGCAACGGGCCTGTCTTTATTTTCTCTTTGGGAATAGCATATCATCTGATATAAGTGACTTTTATATACTCCATAAACGGTTACAAAGAAGCTTTGAAGGTTTTAATGTCGAGGGACCGGTCATTTAACTGCCGTGGCGTGCTACAACACGTTTTATATCACAGCCTCTTGTTGCTGACGATCTGGCTTGTAGCCAAAACCTGTTAGATCTTCTTTAGATCTGAAAAGGGTGGTCTTAAGACTCGTCGGGTCTAAAAAGGAGATCAACGCTTTATGAAATTTCTACAGAGGTTGCGCGGAAGAGAGTATTTTACCAGTAATAAAATAAAAACGAAGCACAAAATGTCCTGAATAAACCTTCAGCTGCTGTGCACTTCCCTTCCTTTAGGAGCAGCATTTTGAGAGAGAATCGAAGAGAGATGTCCGGGGCTCCTGTCGCCTGTCTCAGATGCTCCGTCATAAATAGGACGACGCACTTACGCGTGAAATACAATAGGTGGATACAAATCACGATTATGAAAAGAGTTACTGTGGTGATGTTGAATTTGCGGAAAGAGCATACATTTTCTGCACGAAAACGACTTTTTAAATGGTGGACCACATGTGGTCTGACATTAACAGCAACGACAACAACCATCTTCATGTGATGTAGCAGCTTTCATGTGGAAAAAAATCCGCAAATGTTTCCCCAGAATAAAAACAGATCAGCGATAATAAATATAAAAGCAGTAAATACAGATCAAAAAGTCCAACATTCCCGATAAAACATTTCCTGTCCTGTGTTTACGTTACCCTTGAAAAACATGCAAAATGATTTTAGCCGATTATTTAAGATGTTCACGAGAATGAGTTGTGCTTTTTTCTATAAGTTCTAAATTTAATTGTATCAAGTAATATTTGCACAGTAAAGATATATAAATCATACAAATAAATAGATCTAAACTTAACCAATTTACCACAAATGCTGTTTTATGTTTTAGGGTATTTACATATTGATTTAAATGTGTGCATAACATAATATCTAATATAAAATTACAAAGCTTTTAATTCTGTAATATTTGATTTACATTTATGCCATTGCGTACAATATGCATGTGTCGGAGCTACACTACCAACACACTGCGTTCCCTAAAGGGTTGCCGTTAAAGTACGACGTGCCCTGTTTTATAAGTTATATACCGTATTTGTACCACTTTACAAAACCTTCGAGCTCCCCCTTTAAAAAGAGCGAGCTCGGACGGCCTGGGATGGTTTCGTTTTGAGCAAGAGAAACGTGATTTCAGAGTGGAGCTGCCAGTGGCCAACCTGCATCACACAGTGGACCCCCCCTTTACTGCCGCTGCACGTTATATAAACAGCGTGTTAATCCCACACCCACACCGCCGCACTTCCGAGCCGGTGCTGTTGACCTTGAAACCGGCGCATTAACTTGCAGCGCGCTTTATTTTAAGCTTTCCTCGCGGAATAGAGTCTTCACGCCGCCGCCCCTCCCCCACGCACTTACTGTAAATCCTGGGTTACAAAATCTATACGTTCCTGTGCTTAGTGATTGTAATAGGATCACCCCCCCCCCCCCCCCCCATTTAAGACGGCGAGGTTCTTAATGTATAAAAATATCCACCCAACGCTGATTTTGTTTTTTAGGAAAATCTTAAAAGCGGGTTTACACCAAAAGATAAGGTTAATCGTGTAGTCGAAGTCGAAATTATGAGGCCTTCAGTCATCCCCTTGTAGCTAAGAAGCTGTTTATAAATGCGAAGAATTCCTTATCCAGCTACGTACGTTGCCTTATACCGAACCACCCTTTCCTCTACAGTCCAGGCTCTTTGCAGTTAATACTAATGAAAACATAAACATTAAGAATTAAAACTTAGAATTTATGGAGCTTTTGTCGTGGCTGTTGAACTCCACGTTCTTTTTTAACGTGAAAGTGCCCTCTCTGAGCAAGCGATACGTCTGTCACACTCCGAAGTTCAGACACTATCGTTTATTTACTGAGCATGTTTGGTTTAAATTCCAGACGCCTTTGGAATATCTCATCATTCGAAGGCACCCTCTTTGTGCTCCGTGGTGATTATATCTGAGTTGCATTTCACTGCTTTGTAATGTCCAATTTTCATTGTAAATCGCAAAGTTTTAACAGATCACATTCAGTTAAAGAATCTGAGATAAACTTGTGCTGAAGTTACAGTAGGTTACTGTAGCTCAATGGTTGTAAGCATTTTGCTAAAAATACAATTATTTTTTTTAAAATCTGACAAGACACGGGCTCTCTAGAATGCTGTGATTATCCGAAATGCATTGAAACACAAGCTCGTGTCATTTCCTCATTCCTTAGTGTCAATTCTTATTTCTCATTATCACTTTTTAAGGACTATAGCAATCTGAGATAGAACAAGTTCCATTGAGTGATAAAGCTGACAAGGTGAGTGAGGTGAAACATTTTCACATTTTTCAAACTTTGCTTTGGTTGAGGGTGTGAGTGATTAATGACCCTACCGAATAATCAGAATTGCTGTTTTCCCCTCTTACGTACGTGTGGCATTTGATAAAGAACTGCACACTGTTCCCTGTGCTTGAAGCTGGGGTTTTGTCAGCATTAAAACGTTTGGAATGCTGATCTGTCAGCGGTAATCTCTCACTGTGGTCTTCTAGGGCTCCAGCAACCTCATTTTACCCACAGAAATGTCAACAGGCACGTAGCTTTTAAAAACATTATTCAGATCAAGGAAGGAGAAAAGTACAGTGTGATATTTTTGTATGATTAACTCATTTTAAAGTAAAATGCAAATAAATTGTGTAACGCGAATATTGATAGCCCATTCATCGAGACCATGCTACACAATGATTCCGTTCAGTTTGGGGGTCTGGTGTTGTGAACTCCGTGCTTTCACGGCCACGAATGAGCAACAACTGTAGACTCAACCTTTCCCACGAGTTCCTAATTCTTGCCCACAAAGGTTGCATTTGCATTTTAAATAATACCCTCACTGGATGAAACGCCGCATCGTCCATTTAACGCATTTCAAGTAATAAATTGCTTTTGAATTCCCTTCTGTCAAAAAAAAAAACTGCTCACACATGTGTATGGTTGAACTTTTGTAAAATTATGAAACCTTTTGAAACCTGAGGCACGGAAAGTAGGCAAAACCCACACAGGAAGCACTAAGTACAACCAATCGCATTTCATTTGTGGAATACATTTTGAAACGGTTTAGAGAAGAGGTTCTGGACAAAGGTATAAGTTAGCGGATTTAATTTCAGCCCGATGTGAAGATGTCCTAGTATTAGCCACATTCTTTATGGTCGTGAACAGTATCATTATACTTTAGACACCTTTTGTTGTTCAGAAGCACTTCTAACAGGTCACGTTTTCTCTTAACACCCGTGCTCATGTTACACGCATGTAACATCATTATCATGTGTAGCTGAGTTAACGATTGGTAAAGGGTTTGCGTTTCATGCCTAAACATTTCACACTTTTTTTTAAACAAAATTTTCAGTTCAAAGACAAATTATTAACAGAGCCTCTATTTCTACAGTACTATGCTTCTAAAAAAAACCCACGTGGTATTCCAAAGGCCACTGAATTTGTATAAACAGGTAGCTCTTTTCAGATAGAGTTCCAAGCTTGTCTCTAATCAGCTGCCACAGGCCACCTTCTGAGAACATCCACGTTCAGGGACCTTTCAGAGAGAGAACGCCGTGGTCAGTCTAAACTGGAAGGGGCATCAAAACAACCTTTCGCACTCCTCAAATAGCAGCCTGGGCCTGTCTGCCCCCCTCCCGACTCCCAGTCGCGGTCTTTGAGCTCAGTCTGGACTGTCAGGACAGAGATGAGAAAAAATGGTCACAAACCCGACAATAGCTATGATGTGCCATTTGGCAATTAAATCAAAAATTCCTCAGCTTCTTCACATCCTTGTCCTGATGTGCAGTTCGTGTGCTCGTTAAATTGTAATCAACTTTCCGAAAGTAAGCAAGATTAGCAACAGTGGGTTCAAAGTATATTTAAGCTCCTCCTCATATTTAAGATGTCAGAAGGCGGACAGAGCACCTGTTTCTGTGTGTTCCCTCTCTTTGTCATTCCTTGTCCTTGAACAATAATTGCAAGCATTCCACATGTGGAATGTCATTCTTGTGACCCCTGCCCTTGAGCTTCTCTAGGGCTGACACCAATGATATACTGTAAATCTGCACAGAAAACAAAATATTGGTTTTACTTTTGCATAGTATTACTACGCAAGAAATACTATGACAATAACTTACAATGCTCAATACTATTGCTCATTATTCAGCAACAAACTAACAATAATCTACAAATCTTACCAAAGGACAATAAATAACACTAGAGCATTTAAGACAATATGTAGATTTCCCAAAAGCTTTTGTTAAGGTACCTCATAAAAAGCAGACACTGTAAAATGTGATACTCACTTAGGTACAGATCTGTCAAACGAGCAAGGAGGGTTAAATATCCTTGTGACCTTGTGTTCTCATGATCTTAACCAAAACTACGGTACTGTATGTCTCTTTCCAGAAGTGCCTGGTGGAGCCAGTGGCTTGATTGAGTTCAGCAGAATCATGCCAGATGTCACTAGAGCTTTGTTTACTGTCATGTGTTGAAGACTAATGCAGGGAAGAGGCATGTATCTCCTTCGGACCATGGCTCATCCTTACAGAATCACACCCATTTAGGTTCTCAGCCTCAGAATAAGCTGAATCGGAGATTTGGCAGGAAAGACATGCTGTTCTCCTTCATCTCTTACATCGGTTATGGAAGAATGGAATGGCAATCCCAAATTGAGGAGTACAGTTGCTGGTTCTCTGTTGTATTAATTGCTCTCAAAAAGCCCCTCATTATATCTCAAAAACCAAAAAAACAAAACAAAACAGAGGAGTCATTTGAAGACTGAGTAACACACAGAGATGCTGCACTGCTGTGTAGAAGTTTGTAATCTTGCAATAAAAGTTTAAGTGCCTTTGAGTTTGTAGGAATTGATAACTACCTTTTCTCCTCTGAGAATTAATAACATGAAATTACACTCTTTTTGTCTTAAACATTGTTTTGTGCCACACTGTGACTAGCACAAGTAAATGCATTATATTGCTTTGTCTTTATTAATAGTTTTGGTAATGCGAATGCAATCTTTTCAAAATAAAAGCGTGTGTTTGAATACAACACCATTTTAATACTTTTGAACATTCACAGTCTCGTAGAATCTTACTCTGAGCAGCATAGTGTACTGTAAACGCAGTGATAACACTGCTGAACACGATTCCTTCCTGTTCTGTATTATAAAAGCTAAAGCAGATGCACTTCTGCTGTCTGAAGGAAGATTGTGGCAGCCATGCTTAGCTGCTAGGGGCCATGTAACTTGTGCTCCTAGCCCATAAGGACAATTCAGATGTATTCATTTATTACGCAGGTTGATTTACCTAACACCTGCATTGCCCTAGGAGTGACTCCATTACAAGCCCGCCACAGGAAGGTTGATGATATCAAGTTCTGTGGGATTACTCATTCTGCTGGTGAAAGCGATAGATGAACAGTGGCTCTGTGCCTCAAAGGCAGGAATTTCAGTAGCCCGTACACAGACTCCGACTAGTATTGCCTGCATATTTACACACAGACACAAATGCAGATCTTTAGTGAATCAGGATCCACAGTGGAGAAAATTGATCATCTCTCATCTCTATCCATATGTTATCAAAGTCAATCAGTCCTGCAAAGAAAAACAACAAATGTCATGAGGCTTATGCTAATTTTGGTCTCACTTTAGTTCAGTTTAGAGGTAGATAAGCCAACTGTCAATCTGTTTATAAAGTCTCACAGCTGGAACACGCTGCTTTCTACAAATAACCCAAGAGTTAAGGTTAAGGTTATAGTTCAAGTTACAGTCAAGTGAACTAGGTGTTTGTTCCTAACATACAATTAATCAACGACATAGGTTATTATAACTTTAATGTTGCTCTCTAATGCTTTATTACTCTATTCCATGTATCCACTTATTTTATTTATGTACTACACTATATTCCAGAAAGCATTTATAAATGGGATTTGAAAACCCTTATCCACACTGTAACAATTATTTTTGCATGCTTATATACAGTAAAAAGAACTAAGATAGCGCAGCACATTAATGAGTCATCACATTCCTGTTAATCTAAATCGAGATTGTTCTCCTTAAAGGAAGAAAAGTATGAATATATGTATATAATAGACCTGAGTAGAGCGACACCTTGTTATGATCTGTATTTCTCATGGCTGAACTGGAGTGAAGTGAGACAATGCAGTTCAGTTTCCTCTCTCACCACGGTATCATCTGTTCAGAACGGAGAGCTCCGACAGTGGAAATAACAACGAGATGTTTAATGTAGCGTAGAAACTGTAAAGAATATCTATGACATGTTTTAACTACCTTTTCAATTTGTGCCAGAGTAAAGAAAACACATTGTCTCAACACAATAACTTCTTTCTGACAGGTCTGTAGAGCACAATCAATAACACTGTTTTCTCCTTGGCTGTTTCAGGCCTCCACTAGAGCCCAGCATTTTCAGAAGATCTGAAGAAATTATAGAACAGTACACTTAGTGCTTTTGGTGTTCTAACTACTGTTACATAATGGACTTCTTAGCTCACCCTGCGTTGCCTGTGTTGCAGAGTTATTGAAAAGAGTTATGTAAATAGATAACAGCCAAGCTGAAGAGCGTTGCTGTACAGGAAAGTTTGAAATTCTCTAGACCCCCCAAAGCATAAGAGTGCTCTTGGCATGGCGCAAAGCATTTGGGAATGAAAAGTATAACAGAAAAAAATAGAACGTGTATAGTCAGAGAATGGATTTTGTTCTACATGTTAATAAACCCTTAAAATACAGCTTTATAAAACTTCAGACTGGCTGTGGAGTGTTTCTCCTCAAGCCTGGCTTCTTGTGCCGGAATGAACAGGGTTTTCATCGCTTGTCCTAAGATAAGTGTTAAGGGGCAAGACAGGATGTACAGGAGGAAGCAGCAGGTGAGTTCAGTTATCATCGTGTTAAATGGCTTTTTATATAACTGTTTAAACAACTAGTTGAAAAGTAACCCACCAGTCCCAGGGTTATTGCTAAATGGACTTGTGATAGTCTTTCAAGCCTCCTATTTTCTGGCAACAGAAATTAGGCTGCATCACAACAACCACATGGACAGAGACAGCATAGCAGCTGTCTTGAGTGTAAAAGCCCTGGTCAAATTTGTCACTGATGATTGACGTCATCACCACCCTATGAATAGTTTTCCTCACTAATAAAAATCATTTTGTAAGGCAGTCTTTCGATGGGACATGCTGTCTGCATCTACAACCAGCTGTTCCTGTTTTATTTGGGGAAAAGATAGTCGTTGGGAAAAATCAAGCGCACGTGTTGTAAACATTATAGTGTCAGTATTCTCTGTTTGTCATCCTGATGTTGCATTTTGGTGAATAGAAATTATTTAAGTATGTGTGAGACATTATGTATGTATTATAATGAAGTCGTGGGGGTTTCTGTGTGATGCCTATGGCGAAGGGAGTCCTGGCCATCTAATCCCACCCTAACCCCAGCAACAGGGCAAGTCACAGTCACAGTTACAGTCAGCTAGTAACATGGCCTTTGCTCAAACCCGCGATCACAGAGCTCAGCCATCGCTTGGAACAGCTGCTTGCATCTCCCTCACAACCCAAGACAAGAAGCTTCATGGAAGTTTAATGGAAGAAGAGCCGTTAAGTATAGATACAGTATATACTCCCCCGCGGGTTTCTTTAGAGGCGCATGACTTATTCCTGGGGCCCCCAAATCTTGTAGTAGAGGGGGATCCACTTCAGAAACGCACTGTCCCCCCAACTTGTGGGACTTGATGCTTCTGTCCTGCAACACTAGGACTCAGGAAACACTGCCCAGGAGGAGAAGAAAACAAATGGACTTCAGGTGAGATATCGCTCATGCACTTAAAACAAGCCACACCAGATATCAGAGGCTGGAAATACAGTGTTGACATCTTGCCCACCAGCTGACGCCTCGACCTCTCCCATTGAAACTGTCCCTGTCAGCTCTGGGAGGCGACAGACTCCACTGTCGATGATCCCCAGAGCAACTGCTTCCTCTTCACCGTCCACACACATCCAAATAATCCAATAATCCCAAAAATTGGAACAGGGAAACTGAAAGAGGAACTGCTCCTGTAGCCTTTCAGTTGCTCCTGACTCCGGTGTGGGACATCAGGACTGCAGGCTTCTCCGCAACAAGTCTTACCACCTGGAATCACGGAGAATCACAGACTCGGACCTCTGTCTGCCCCACCTGTGCTTTTATCAGCTTTACAGTCAGTTAGCCCTTTTCACCTATTACCTCACTGAAACAATATGCGAGGCTTTTAAAGTTGTTGCTTTTGAGCACACTCAGATGAACATAAATGGAACTACAGTATGCAAAGAAACCTTTTTTTTGAAGGGACATTTTTGTCTCTGACATGGGTGTATCCAGCTCTTACCCCGGTGAATTTCTTTCCCCCTGTGGAGACAAAGTCAGCGTATTATGTGTCTTGTGGGACCTTAGCCAAAACTGAAAACTTGAAAAGGCAGATTGCATACTGAAGATTTATTACTCCCCGCGTATGTCACTCAGACAGGCTTCTATAACAGTTTGGGTCATTTTTCAAATTCCCTAGAGTCTCTGTAATAGGGTGGATGTAAAAATCTTTTTCTTAGATAAAAACATAACGTATGTGCAGCACACTGTAGGAAACTGCGCAGAGTACCTTAGCAATCACTGGTCTCCAACTAGAATACAAATGAAAGCTGCACAAACAGCACCCACATACACTAGTGCACAAAAACACAAATACAATTCTCCCATCTCTGAAATCCAAGGGAATCGAGAGTTATGGCAGAATAGATCCTGCGCTTCAGATCAAACATCTATTACCCTAGTAATTAAAATGTAAAAAACAGAAATAAAAACATCATGTTCTGATTTCTGTATGTTGCAATGAAGAAAATTATGGCGTATATTTTCTCAGTGACATCTGGAAGATACATGGCTTGACATGACACGACAAAACACAGGACGCTGAAAGCATAATATTGCTTTAAATTGTGATTCACACTGTTATATATTGTAAATTTCCTAAGTTACACTTTAAAAGTTCATATTTACAAAGTATAGATAAGAGACCGCTGTGAAGAACGGGCGTCCAATCCAGGGTGTGTCCTGCCTTGCACCCTTACTGGATAAAGAGGTTAGAAAATGGATGGAAACACGTGACCAATCAGCAAAACAGATTTTTCTCTTTTGATTCATATTTGTTTTTTTATAACACTCTTGTTTTATTTGACATCGCATCTATGGTCCAAACTGTAAACATTGAAACCAAGCGTATGAGATGTTAAAATAAGGATTTTTACACAATATTAAACTTCACTTACTGGGGACATTGTGTGTATCCTGGAATCCTTGCATTCAGAAGCTGAATAATAAATTGCTACTTTACCAGGATTTGTGAGATTAAGTAGATTAAGTCCTCTTCACAATTGGATCCAGTGTGTGCTGTATCTGTGTGTGTCTGTACACCCGTTGTTGCACAGTTACTTCATAATCATTCTAAAGAGCTCAATTTGTCCAGATTTTACTAGGAGAAAACATATCCATGATAAATAGCAGAGGGCCCAGAATGAGCTTTGTGGAACACTAGATCCAACTGATTCCAACTCGGAAGGAAAAGAAACAATAGAAATAGAAATAAAATGTCTACACTCAGTAAGATACCCATTTCAAGGCAATACCAGAGATACCAAACCAACTGTAACTGAGTATGTAGAATGTAATGTTTTACAGTGAATACAATCAATTAAAATACAAACTCTAAGAGTATAGACTGAGGTCTAAGAAAAGCAAGAACATTTGAATCAGCAGCCTTTAAGAAATCATTAGCAACTTTAAGTTGTTAGTTTCAGCGCTCTGTAAGTGCATAAAACCAGATTGAAAACATTCAAAAAGTTTATTTATAGTGAGATGACTAGTTACTTTACAGGACATTCAAATATATTTGCAGGAAACTGCATTTTCATATTGCTGGAAACTGGCGTTAACTTGGAGGAAGTAAAACAATAAATACAAATTACTCACAATTTTGAGATACAAGGATTGAAAGACATTCTGATCTTGTAACGGTTTGAAATATGACAATATGGTGTTTTTTAAATAGCAGTTTGATAAGAGATCATTCTAATCCTGCGCTCTTCTGCGTTCCTAACCATAAATATTTCTTCTGCTGAGCCCCCCTATGAGCTTATTTCTCATACCCCTCCCTCCACCTACCCTCACTCTTACAGCAGCTCCCTGGCTCATTCCTCACCGGCGCCAAGTCTTATTTATTAGGATTTGGCTGAAACAAAAACTCTTTTTTTAAAACTCTTTTTGTTTTAAAAAAGAGTTATGTTTTCCTTTGAAATGTGTATTATCAAACATTATGAGCTATTGTCTTGTAAAAGTACAACCGATGCAGATGAAGCCACTTCGATTTTTATTATTGTTATCATTTGGAGTTTTTTTGCTTGGGTCAAAGCACAATACAGGAAGAGCTCAGAAAACAGCTGATGTGTATCAGATATCCAAATAATTGTGTCATTTCTCCTTCTCTTTGATCTTGAATCCAAGGCAATCAATGGTACTTATTTTGGGGTTTGGGTTGTCTGAACTATTTAATGAACATCATTTAAAAGGTTTGTTATCCAGTTAAAAATAACAGGTGAATTAACCACAAGTAATTTGGGCTATATGCACAATTAAACAACCGTTTATAAAAAATTGCAGAAATCCATTTACGTTTCCGCAAATAGTATTTAAGTTTATGCCAAACCACACAATTTTTTTGTATGTAAAATGGGTGGTGCCAAAGCTCTTATTTAACATACTTCAGCTCTCATAAAACAGAAAGTTGCCTTCCCTTGTCATAAACTGAATTTTAAATGAAAAAAAACAAACGGTATATACTGTCATATATACTATATATTACATATGAGCCTCAGAACATATCCTGGTAGCTGTGTGACCAGAAAAACTTTTTTTCAGAATTTTGTTGAACTGTGAAATTCACTCTCTTTTACTGGAAGGTGTGGTTAGCATGTTCTGATTTGGAAATTTGGGAAACAGCAGCATTGGGTTCGGACACTTAATTCCTGACCTGGACTGGGCATGTGGGCTTGCCACAAGCGCTATGGCCTATTACACAGTGTCAGAGGCCTGGTACCAGTCTGGGTTTCCTGTAGGGTAACCTGTAAGACCTGTAAGACTGTAGGGTATGTTCAGTACAACTGACACCAATCTGAGCAAATACATAATTCAGCATAATTAAAACACATAAATGGAAACGGCGGTGGAGCCTTCTTCAGGTGTGACTCCTTTGTTTTCAGCATGGAATAAACCTTTACCTGTTCCTGTGCAGCCTACGCATGCTGACGCAGCTCCCTACTTCTTCCCAATCAAGGTCATTTCATCCGACACTGCAACCTGGAGGGCTTTACAATAAACAGGCATCTCTGAATGAGATCTAACAGGCTGCAGGTTCCTGTGATGTAACCCAAACCTCCCTCTGCCTCCAGGGTTGTTTCTGGGGGGAGGCAGCAACACCCTTGACCAGCTTCACCTGCGGTCAGCACGTCTCATTACTGGCCATTGTGAACGGGACAACAACAGCTGCACAATTACAATGAAACACAACCTCGCATCCTCTCTTCCTTCACGATGACATATTGTGCCTGTTTTGTTTTTTTCTGGTCTCCATCGTGACATTTGTCCGCTTGCTTGAGCACCTCTCCATGTCCTCGCGCTTTCCTGTACAGGTTGTGAAACGGAAAAAGGAAGTAAATTAATTTCATTTCTCTCTGCAAATCAAAAAAGCCAAATCAATATTACAATTCCGTGATTCCTACAGCGAGTCATTTACGAGACAAGTCCACCGACAAGGAAGACATTTTTATGTTCCTAATTCCGAAAAGAAAATAGGGTGTGGGATCAGGGCAAAACCAAGGAAACTGAGACGGGTCATGAATTGTTAATAAGTACAGAGTGCTTTTCATCCCAGACAATCCTAAAGCGCTTTACAAATAAGAGGAAACTCACTGTATTTTTCTTCCAAAGGACAGGACCTGGGTTCACTGACACCTTGCCACTTTGCATCATGTGTTCCTGAAAGAGCGTTCAAGCCCAGAGCTTTCGCTATGCACTGTTCTGAAAAAGCAGATAAATGCCAGCCAGTATTGCTTAATGCCTGCATGAACGCCTCTTTAGTAATAGCTGCACACGAAACTGAAAACTAAGAATTATACAGTATGTACACAGCTGCAGTGCCCTCCAAAGGTATTGGGACAGCAAAGTCAAAGCAGCTAGTTTTGCTTTGCAATCAAGAAATTTGTGATTTCAGATCTCGTAATCAGTAGAAACAAAACACGTCAGAACTCTCCAAGAACAGGCGAGAAGATGAAGTGACTGCAGCAAAGCCCCTGAAACGATTACAGAGAATTTGGTGAGCTCATTCGGTTTCAGACTTCATGCAGTTGTTGCCTAAGAAGGAATATGCAACCATATATGGACGTTTACTCAATCTTAAAACCTCAATTGCATGTGTCCCAGAACGTACAGTCACTTAAAATCACTAGATTGAACATAAAGTATATTTTTGTTCTAAAAAGATTAATACAGTATGTAAATGGAAATACCCACAAAAACGGCATATTATATTGTACATATCATTCATATTACTGCAATGATCACAGATGCAAATTTCCATCACTTTTCTGTCCACTTTTGAAAGGCATTGTATATTGTACAGTTATACTGTAATCCGATTTCAGAGTATCAGTGCTTTTCAACTTTGTATCCTCACTTGTGCTGAGATCTGACATTCGTAACATGTCTGCACGGGGGGCCCGGTGGGGATTGTGCTGTAGAAACCCTAGACTGCTGCTTAGCAATCGGATTATAATGCACATGTGCAGTGCGTGGAGCTCATTTACCCACACCTGACATCGGCAGTAATCCCCCCATGTGGGGGTGCCACTACTAATTCCATCAGAAGAAGGCCACATACAGTACCAGCATTTCAAAAAACCACACTAGAAAAAAAGGGATTGTTTCTGAGTAATAGGGGAAAAAAATAGGTGTTTTAATTAAACAACCAAACATATCCTGAATGAAAAAGAGAATTTTCTGTAAAAATTCATTCAAGCAATCATGCTTTCCAGGCCAGCAGCTGCTGACCATTGAGCAGATATGTCTTGTTTACAAGGAGTCCTGATTAAAGGCCACTAATTGAATGATCAGGATTTCTGTTACAAACTTTATTTAAACAAAGACACATAGAGTGATTCCATGCATTCAATGCATTTCACATAATTCTCACTGGAGACAGAGGACAGCTGCTCTAGTTATTATTAGCTGCTACTTATGGACTGGTATCTTCTTTCATTTACAAAATCACAGATGGCTGGGTGTCTTTGGGAGTGTGACAGTGTTTTCTAGGGCCCAGGTACAAGGGACTTGCAGACCCAGTTTAATATCGAAGGATATCATTCCTTTATTTTTTTTTTTGGGTTGCAGGTTGTTGTACAGTAAATCTATTTTTATCAAGCAGAAATGCCCCAGAAATGTGGTTTGGGTATTATACACCCCCTGTGGGATGAAAGCATCTTGTGTGCAATATTAATGTGGCATCATTTCAAAGTGAGGAAGCAGAGAAAAGGCTTGGCTTCTTTAGTAATGACTGAATGGATAAACAGCTTGGTTTAATGTATGTAGATAAACAAGCACATGAGTTAACACATAACCATTAGCATGTTATAAAGCCCTGGAGGAGGAGTCTGTTTACAGAGGATAACAGGCCTAGATTCCTATACAGTACAAACTGCATAGGCTCGTCAGAGCCTGAATCTGCAGAAGTGCTATACATAAAAAAAATGACTTATTCAGTAAGTTATTCAAAACAAAAAAAAAACAGCTTCATTTCATGTGTTGCATGGGTTAACATTAGGTAGTATTTTAATTGTCTTCAAATGAATTCCGTCAGACAAATACAGGAATACTACCCTTACATGCAAATTCCCTGGCAGGAATGTTCTGAAAAACAAACCAGAAAATGATTAAAACAGTTGGAACGTGTTTTATCTTGAACACATCTCATTCTTAATCCGACTTTCTTCTGCACTTCAGGGCAGACTCCTGCTGCACAGAGCCTGGGAGAAATGACAAAGCACTGCTGGGGAAGTCTGCTTATTTCCGTCATTGTGTGATTAAGATACCAACTAATAAATTATATTTATTTATGTCTTTATTTACCTCAGGTGATGGGTTTAAACCAACCACCATACAGTACAGAAATGTACTGCCTGCATCTTGCTGATGCTCGTTTAGATAAATGCAGTTTATTTTGCACCATATTGAACACAAGGTTGCAGCTACTTGCCCTTCACCATCAGCCATAAGCAGTGTTTAGTCTTTACATTAGCATTTACAGCACTTAGGAATTATAAACTCTTACACTTCGTGTAGCTTGTTTACTTATGTCACCACTTTCATCCCCTTCCTTGCTGTGTTCTTATGTCTTAAGTATTTTACTTTGCAGTTTTTCCCTGGGCAGTGGGCCAAAAACAAAGCATGAGCTTTGTCAGGTTCCTCAAAGGCACACAACTGGTTTAAGGCCTCGAGCAGTAGGACTCTAAAATGCAAAGGAATTCTGCAGCCCCAGTTTTAACTGGTAATAGTTAGCTACCATAATCATCTATTTTGAAATCCAAGCAAATATGACAAGTGATACAATTAAAATATTAAAATTGTAATAATAAAATTACAGTTTGCAGCAGACTTAATTAAAAAGGATAAGTATGACAGGTGTGCTTGGAATTTCCTGAAAAAACACATTCTTTTCAAATACATCAGATTCTCCATACTTGAAAGCACACTTCTTGGGTTTGGAAGAAATACCCATCATATTCAGTATCTCTGTACAGTAGAAGCTGGGGTAAGATTCTTTTTTGTTTTATGCAGCAGAACGTTTTGTGTCAAGCATTCCTACATGTCTTTAAAAGCTGAAACAGGCACAGAAAACCATCTTTTCTCATGGTCTCGAAGCAGGAAAATGGTGGGACTTCCTCTCCCAGGTTCCGCCTCTGATTAATCCAATTAGGAAACTATCAGACAAGAAATCACTTTAAGAGGCATTAGGGGTTCAGGCATCACATATAATGATGTTAGCTAGTTAGTGCTTAGAGCCCAGCAGCAAGCTTGGAGTTCTGTGAGTCACGAGAGTCCTTAACAAAGAATACAAACTTCGACATTCTGATGACAAAACATAGCTTTAGATCATGAGAACTGAGACTGACTTCCTTGTGGAATATGTCTTCAAAGACCTTCTTAATCTACTGCACAGTGAGCAGTAACACCGCTTTTTTCACCACTAGTTTTTTTTGGAACCGTCTTTAATCTTCCTAAGTTAATTGTTAATTGATAATTGTTTTGCACAGAAGTGCAGTCAATGGTGATCTCTTGAAACGAAGCAAAATATTTAACGTTTTTTTTCCAACAAAACTCTAGTGCTAGTGCTGTTGCTGTTGCTGTTTTGGAAGATGAATCACGTGATTAAAATGTGTACTATTAAAAAATAATTTACATGTTCTCTTGCCGTATTAGCACAGTTTCATGACAATCCTTTTTTTTCCCAGAATGCTATTAGCAATAAAAATTCAGCATTTAACACCCAGACATCTTAGCACAATATTAAAATTCCCCCAAATATTCTGCCAACTGGTAAATGTTAGTCTATTACAATAATTCTTCTGTTTTCGAACTGTGCTGACGTCATCTATTATTCACACAGGAGAACATGCACCTAAATTGCACCTAAAACATGTCTTTATTTTTGAGGAGGAAACAACGGAGTTCCTCCTGGAAGCCAATTAATGGCAGTTCAGTTACTATAAACTGATATGTGGTGTATACAGTTCAGGTCTAGATGAGTTACAACAATCATACTTTGAAACTGCAATGAATAATTAAGGGAATGGCAATGTTGTGGTTTTTAAGTGTGTTGATTGCACATTAATCAGTGTTTGTGTGGTGATTGTTTTAGGCTGGCCTAGTGTCAAAGCCCGGATTTAAAAAAGAACAAAGATAAAAGCCTGGAAAGCACAGCTCTCTGAGTAGACACATGAAGGTAAAGTTATTTTTTAAATGTTCACTTCTCTTATTTGAACTGTTTTTTAGTTCATGTTCAGCTTATATATTTAAGGATTTACCCTTGAAACATGAGCATTTCAGTCCAATGACCATAAATACATTAAGTTAAATTGTACATCACAATAAAATTGCAGATGCCAGCTGGACTAGTGTGACAAAGCTTTTCTGGTTCCGTTTCACACAGTTTAAGACTCACTGTCTGAATTGATCAGAGAGTCCCTTGACTGATAACCATGAGCTATTAATCAAACTCTGGAGGAAGAGGCAGCATTTCAGAAATATGTGATAGATTATCGAAAACAACACGTTCTTCTGCTCAGTCTCTCCCCACTACCCCTGCAAACAAAGAATGAATAAAATAGGGAATTGCAGATACTTACAGTATATACTGTACTTCATATTAGACTTTTCTGATAACATTTGGAACATTTTTATAGTAGCATTCGTAAATGGAGAAGTCAATGTCAGCAGTAGTTCAAGTGGTTTCAGAAGACAGGAAGGCCAGCGGCTGGCAGCCAGCGAAAGCCGAACAAGCACTTTCCTGGGCATTAGAGTTAGCGAATTTTTTCTAGATAACAGGATTTAAGGACACTTGTCCAGCACTAACCTGTGATGGTTTTGAAATTTTGCTTGGTTGTACTGCAGCCACTGTATGTATGCCTGAAACTAAATTGTACCTCAATGACAGGAGAGAGCTTTTTTAAAGGGCAAGAAAAAGTTTGAGAAACGTAACTTGTTGTCTATTTTTTCATCTAACTAAAATGCATTTCAGTTCATCTAAAAGAGTGTGTTTTAGTCTGAGCATATTGAATACATTTCATTAAAAGCGCCGCTGCATAGGTGAGGTGAGCAGGGCAGGCGATATAAACAACGGTACCTGTAACGACAGCCCGCATGCATGCTGCGTAGAATGTCACAGCACCACTGCAGGTGGGAGCCCCTTAGTGCAGAGGGATGAAGTGACCTCAGCACAGCAGCAGCAGCTGTACTGCTGTACTGCTCCACCTCAGCCTGATATTATTCGACCTCAGGAGCTCAGTAAGGCTGGTCCTGGTAATTACTGGGGCACCGCTAAGGAAAGCCAGACTGCGGCTCTCCGTGCTATCGTGGACCTGCAGGTGGCGCTCTTGTCTCTGGACGAGAATTTCTAAGCCGATGCAAGAGGATGGTGATCTGGGGCACTTTACTGTAAGAGGTGACATCCCTCGGAGGAGATGTCTCTCTGAGGACCTCACGGCACTTTTGTAAACTCCACATTCCTCTGTAATTCAGCCAGTGAAGTGAAGCAGTTTCTCCCCTCTCCACCAGATCTGCTCTGCAGTGCTGCTGCCAGCACAAATTGACTCCCTGCATGCACATCATGAGTATTAAAGCACCCAGGTCACTATTATCTAATTGTTACCAATGGAACCACTGGCTCATTCTTTCCTGCTTCTGAAAGGACAGGAGGTGCGTCATGACATTTGTGCTGGCAATGCAGTACCTGAAGGATTATCTTCATAAAATATGACACTTTATCTTCTTCCTTGTGTTGAAGTGCAACAAAAGGAAATGACCTCGAAGGCAGGGCGTTGATCTCTACCTGTCAGAGCAGATTTCTCCCAGGGGATCTAGAAGATTAGGAGGCTTTCTTATCCCTGACAGCAGCTTCCTGGACTTCAAAGTACTCATAAATGTGGTTGGACATTCAATGCAACTGTAGTGTGTCAAAGGACATGACATTACAAAGGAATCCAGAATACAATCAGGAAATCAGATCTGTTCTATATTTTTTATCTGATGCAGCACAAAAGGGGTTTATTGCAAGGTTCAAGGGAAAAAAATGTACCTCCCTTCAAAACATTTGGAAAATATGTCTAAATGAATAACTGTCTGTGAATCTGTGCTAGCCAATTAAAAATTAATTGTCTTCCCCTCACGTATTCTCAGTTTTCTGAATCTTGGATGAGTTTTGATCCTGTAAATGCTAATGTGAAAATGGTGTTTGATGGCTTAAAGTCAAACAAAGACAGAAGATTGTAACATGCTGCTTGCAGACGGGGATCATGCACACTGCTAACATAAGAAACAAAGGTTACAAACAAAAGGAGGCCATTCAGCCCCTCTGTGAACACTGTACTGTAAAGTATAGCGTTAGATATAGACATACCGATATGGATTTCTATCGGAAATTATCTGGGATATTGGTGATCTTTACAGGTCTCCCCCTGGGGAATTTCAGTTTAATCTCACCCACGAGGCAGAAGAAAATCTTTACATAAACTTTGGAACTTCAGGGTATCATCAGCTCCAGATAAATAATGCAAAAGAGCTTCATTGAACCGTGAATTGCCAGGAACACAGCTGAAACCGAAGCCTGATAGATGCTGCCCCAATACCTTGTTTTCCCTATCACCTGGCGTTCAGCTCCAGTGTGTCCCCATCTGAACCCAGGTAGCGTGTCGGCTCATGTCAGTCCCAACATAGTTTGTACTCATTTGCTCCAGGTTTTCCTTTTTTTCAGGTGGAAAGCATGCTGCTGTATTTTACATGCCATATTCTTGCAGTCATTTTAGTGTAGTAAATGCCACTTCTATTGGTAGTGCAAAAGCATGTAACTAAAGCAGGAACCTGCTAATTATTGGTATTAAAAACAAAGTTTTTCAGTAGAGATCACAGACATGCCACTGTACTTGGACTGTAGAGCTGCCAGTACCTCTGGTGGATGAGGAAATCATTTCAAAGGAGGAATAACATTGTGCATGACAATAAAAAATAACTACAGATTGTGTCCTTGCATTGAACGTATAAAATGTTATATTAAATCAGGAAGAGAGGCAAAACATCTCAGTCCTCAGCAGGAAGGAGGCTGACAGGAAAAAGGGGTCATTGTACCTTATTTTGCTTTCTTTCCCCACAACTGCATCTGTCTGCATTCAGATATCTTTAGACATCTAAAATTCACCAAGAAAGTAATCACTGTTTTTCTCTCACAGTGAGAAATAAGTCTGAATTTAGGTCCAAAGACACTGTCCAGTCAGGGTTGTGATCTTGACTGTGATAGCGCCTCTAACATCTAAAAGACAGATGTACACAATCACGTTTCAGCCAATATGTGTAGTATACCACTGACGCATGGCTAGGGCGTCCATCTCACCTGATCTGTTATACTCAGTCCAACAGTAAAGACAGTAAAGAGTTCATTTACTCTGAAATCAAGATGTGTGAGTCCACTGTTGTGAGGACACACACGAGAGCTCACCTGAACAGGGAAACCTAGAGCTGATGCCATTTTCAATCTGATAGCAATTCCTCCAGTTGCTCTGCCATTCCACACTACTTCATTCACACCAGTTCTTTGTTGCCATCTGCTGCTGTTGACTTGAGGAGCAGGAGTATTGAACCTCCTGGGTTCTGGGGGTTGAGACGACAGGCTGTGAGTATTTGAGATGTCTTTGCTTTGTTTGCTTTGATAAAGCTGGATCACAGATATTGTCAGCAATATGCCTTCAGTTCAATACACTGTCAGCATTCCCTATAGCATGCCTAAGCAAGCCGCCCTGTCCTGTTGCTCGCACACACTTCTGCAGTTCTTCTACAAATAGCTCATTTCAACAGCTTGATATGCTGAGCACTCAGCACATGACAAAATCTGTACCAGTTCGTCTTTAACAAATGAAACTGTCACAAAAAGACAGGTTGAGATAACATTGTTCTAGTAATTAACAGTTACTGGAAAGCAGCATTGGAATGTTGGGATAGCCATACCTGTCCAGAGTTATTATACTCCATGAATTTAGCAAATGTAAATATTGGTTCTGGCTGTTTTATAATTTTAGAGAACAGAGATGTCTGAAGGGAGTTCTGGTTCTGCCTTGTGTATATAAATAATAGCCAGCAGCCACAGACAGTTGTTTTTCCCTTATTAGGACTCATCAGCGTGTCGGTGTCATAGCTGACGCCAAGCAGTGACGTCTGTCCGTTAGGGGTAGGAATATTAATGACCTCTTTGTTCAGTCACACCACTACAGGAGACCTAACCTGGGAAGGCGTTCATTCTTTTCAAGTGCGCCTTTAGAATCACACAGAATTGTTTTTCCATGTTGTAGCAATTGATAAAACATTCCAGGTCTGGAATAATGCCATCCGCTGAACTACACGGGTATTTGAAAGGGCTTGAGCATCTCCACTACCTCTGAGTAATTTCTAATCTTGCAATAGACCCACCTCCCTGGAACACTGTTGCCATCTGCTGCTTTAGATTACTGAGCAGAAGCATATTCCCCTGTGATGCAGTAATCCTCTGCTAACCAGAAATCTAAGGCTTTTTTGTTGTCAATGACTGTATTTAATGATTCTGAGGAGGTCCTGTCCATTAAGCTTATTACACGCACAGCTGTATCTCTGGGTGGATGATTACACTGAGTCGCATTATATACTGCGCTGCATCCTTATCCAGAGATCAATATTATATGGTTATTCTTAGACTGGAAGCGTATGATGCTGAATGCAGACAAGAGGGAGTGGATCTTTCGGCATTCTTTCTCAACAATGAAACGAGAAATTTATCCTCCTCATGATATAAAATGATATACAAGCTATGCTGTTAGTATGTTAGTATTCAGAGGTGTGCATATGATATTGATTCATATTATATAAGCCACATTAAAACCAATTGTATTATCATATTATTATATTATCATATAAGAGCCAATGGTTATAGTAGTGGAAAATTATCAAATTTTGTTTCAATGCTGAAATGTTTCGGTCTCTTACTGGTAAAGCAGTTGGTATGTGTTACTAAGTATAATCCTGCTCCAAATTACAGTACAGATAAGTGTCGTTTCTCACATATGGGGCAATGAAAAGACTGCCGTAATGCTGTGAACACAATGTTACCATTTTTTCCTGTGTGCACAGCTCTGGAACAGTTTTGAGAGATAATGGATTTGACCCTGACCGTACAAAGCAACAACATGGCATGTTGTTCATTGGATCTGAAGTTAGGTCCTACATTAAGTCTGCTTTGCGTGTGAGTCCTGAAGACTGTGAAATGAGCTTGATGTGGTGTGCTGGACTCACCTTTAAAACAAAGCAGCTCCCTCTCTTCTGGCTGCTAATTGTACTGACTTTTTGCACCCACTGCTTCCTGTGGCTTTACAACTATCCAGTTACTTCTTCTTTCATGCAGGAATCTGATATCCAACGATAGCAAGAAAAATGAACCTTGGGAAGCTGCAACATCGAGTGTTTTCAGAGCACAGGAATTCCTGTTGTCATGGAGTATTCTAGAATGAAGTTTCTACATGCTGTTGGCACGGAGAAATAAGCAAAACATGGTGATTAATTGTGCTTGGTTTTTAAACTTAAAAAAAAATGTACAGAAATTGTAATAACTATGTTGTAACAGCAATCATCTGTTGAAATACAACACAACTTCGAAAGAGCACTCCATAAAATCATGTAGGCTATTTGTCTTTGTATGTGTATTGTAATTAAATGTACTTATTAAAATCTAAATTGATTAATGCCAAACAGGAGTAAAGGTTCCTATTTAACCTGGTGTGTCGAAATGCTTGGCAATATTTATGCAGTTTATTGTCATACGTCTTCATAGGAATGCCTAATATGCATCACTTTTTATGGGAAATCAAGTCTAAATCAAGCATAATACTTGCACACAACATCTGAATATCAGACCAACACTGCATAGAAAGGTATTGTGAGTTAAATATCTCTAATGTAATGCTTTAAATCACTGTTATTAAAATGAGCAGTAGAAGGCAGTCAGGAATCGGTCTTGTGCAGAAAACAAAACATCTCAAAGATTCTTCTGTAAAAATCTTAAGGGACTGATAGAGCTTTACCTCATTTAATTAGAGAACAGATGCCCTTACCTACCGGACACTGAAAGTCACAGCAGCATCTTCCTTTACTGATTTATTCCTATACCTGTCCAGTTTAAAAAAATGTATTCATAAAAAGAGAGAAATACAACCTTAAGAAGTAAAGTACAGTGTAAAAAATAAATTTTCCAAGTTTGCAGGTTTTCACAATTTTCCAGCATCATGTCTCTCACTGCTGAAGAGAGCGTCCATCTGGGTGACACATAGTGGCCCTCGTTCTGCAGCAACCTACTCAGCAGGTCAGGCGGAGAGCTGAGAGATGACTTTGCCAGCTGAATTAAGGTTGAACTTTCGCTGGACCTGACTATATAAGGTTAGAGTGGAATTCAGCCTGTTTTCCTTGATGTGACACATTGTCTGCTCATAGATTTCAAGAGAAGCACAACACTGAGTTAGTTACCTTCACAACTTTGGTAGGAGCATTGTGCCCTCAGTTTTGTCAACAATAGCTTGACACAGGGTGCTGACGTCTCCATCGATGTCTGCCAGGGCGTCCTACTGTAGCTGTGGTTTTTCTTCAGCTCTGTCCAGCTTGTGCTGCTGTCCTGAACTCAGGCCTCCACGAGCTACAGTAGGTCATGCCCCAGTGACAGGTCTGCACTTAACTCTGCTGACCGCAGCACCCAAAACCTCTCTCAGATTCTGCTGGGATCCCTCACAGCCGTTCCCGCAGCCTGCACCTCTTGGAAGACAGTGTTCTTCCGGGCAATGTCTATCACTCTCCGGCCAAGATACAACACAAACATGAACTGACTCATTCGCCCACCCCACATCCCTGTCCCCTCCTCTTTCTCCCCTCTGGGCCCAGGCTTGCAACCCCACTGGCACCCTGGGCCCCGGCAGTAGAGAGCTCTATGTCAATAACATCAGCACACTTTGGATCCAGTGATGCCAGGAGAGGGAATGCAGAGACTCACAGGGCAGGTCCAACATAATTTTACGCAAGAGTACTAGAGGTCAACAGGCAGTACCCTTTAGAGAATAAAGGACAAACAGGAAGAGACTATTTTCCAGAAGAACATCTGGACACTCCCAAAACATGTGCAGAATCCTTCCATGAAACACAGACAAAATCCATTCTTCAGTCGTCTTTATTTATGGCAATATTATAAATTAGATCACCATTATAAATCCAATGTTCTCTTCGGTCTGTTATTGAAAAAGTCCGGATAAAATTACATTTGTCATTCATACTGTTTATTATTGTAACATTGAATCCTGCAAAAACACAATTTAAAGCACCATTGAGATGATGAGAGACACTGCAAAAATTAATATTTGAAATGCATTTTCTAAGAAGTGACCAAGTCCTCTTTCTGTTTCTCTCCAATGACCAAGACTCTAGTATGAGTAGTATTTACTGTGACTTTGGTCCTAGAGTGGGTTTCAGGCTATCAAACTATAAAATAGTGGTGTATGATACTCAGAAAGAGTAAGGCTGAGCTCAGAACTGGACAGACATGTGGAAAATTGAATTGATTACTGCTGTTTTACTCTCTGAACTATAGAGAACTGATTCTAACACTTTAATAATCATTCAACAAAGAAACTAGAAACAGGGCACAGAGATGGAAATTGAGGGAAAGTGCATTAATGTGATGGCAGGAGTGGTCTAATATATTGGCCACCAGATATGAGTGGCAATTGAAATTAAACCTTATTGACACAACAATTAACAATCTATGGGCAACCCAAGTTGTGGTTACAGCTGATAAATATTGCAGGATGCAAACCTCCCAAGATAGAGAAACACTGAATACATTGTTAAACAGGTAATATTGAAGGACATTCTCCTACTTTCCAAATGGTTTGCATATTTTACACGGGGGACTCATAGACTAGCAGACGTGAGAGGCTTGTTAGTTTCAGAGGCAAATTCTGCTCTAGTTGCAACTTGCTAGACAGGTGATGACATCCAGCAATCCGGTGGCAAAATGGTTATTTCGAGAAGCTGTAGATTTTCTTTTGAGAAAAGACAGAGTCCAGATTTGGTCTGAGGATGAAACAAAAAACGTCACGATGATCTAGAATGTGTCTGCTGTGCAGTCCTACTGAGTTGGAAAAAAATGAACAGAACGTTTGGCAGCATGGATGATAGTTAAAAGTTTTTTGGAATGCAAGTATGACTAAACTAGAAATATCACAGGTTTCACAGCTTTAAGACCAGCCAGTAAACGTTTTCTTTTCTCGTGTGGATTGTAGAGAAAAATACTTTAAAAATATATTTCACGGTCCTACAGGCTCCATGACAGGAAGTAAAATTGCCTACAGAATATGTAGAATTATCATTATTTGATAAGGAATTATTTTTTTCCCACTTTGAATAATATGCAGACATGATTCCTAAAATGCTTTTAATAAAACATTCCGCCACCGTATCGCTAATAAACTATATGATTACTTTGTGGACACTGGGTTCCAGTTGTTTAAGCTTCCTACTAGACTTTTGATTTTTAAACCTAGAAATCCATAATTAAAAATACCCCCTCCACACTCCCACTCCCACAAGATTTATTAAATTATTCGCGTGCACAGACCTGCAGCAACTTACACAACTCATTTCCCAATATACTTCATCTTTCAAACATGTGCGTATTCTGATTTGCAAAGGCATATTCTATTCATTTTTATATTGTTAAATATAAATTGCCTAACAAAGAGGCAGCTCAATGGCAGCTGTCATTATGCATGCAGTAGGCAGTGTGAGTTGCATTGACTGACAGACAACATTGTGCTCTAATCCTTGAGAACCTCTGAATCTCCACAGAGTATGGGCTTTCACAGATACAGTCTGCGCAGAACTCAGACTGATACATTTTAATGACTTTTGAATGTGTGCAGGTCTAGTCATGCGCTTGGGTCATTGTCAGCATTTGCATTATTTCATACTAAAGCTCGGAATTATCACTTTTTCTCTGTAGCCTCTGTGTGCTTTTTATTATGTTACTAATCTGCAGCAGGCCTTGTGGAAGGTCTGCTCGCTACAAGGGTGATGCATTGCACCCAACAGCAGAAATCATCACAGCCTGGAGCATGGCTCAGGGGCTTTTCAAAAATAAGAAAAATTACTAAAATGTCCTGATATCTCCCTCATTTCATTCGGACCTTTGCAACTTGTCAGGAATGTTTGCTGTTGTTCCCTTGAACTGTTTTTGCTCTGAAAATGTGGGAAACACTGTGGGGGCGGGCGGAGCACCGGTAAAAAGTCAGCGCCCCTAGCTGAGGGTCGGAAGCACCGGTGCGAGGTCAGCAGGGACCGAAAACAACACACAAAGTGTGAAAACATGGGACAAAAAACAAAAAGAAAGGTGCTGTAGCATCACGATCTCCGGGGCTGGGCTTAGCCTATTTAACGGGGACCAGCCTGGGAACAAGAAGAACCGCCGGCACAGCGGTGACCAGACTGGACTTGCGCTATTCAGCGGGGTCCAGTCTGGCAGGGCAGGGCGCACAAGGCCCAAAATACAACAAAAACTGTGTGTGTGTGAAAGGAGTATCTGCCCTGGTGAAAACACACGACGGGACGGAACAGAAAAAAAGAAAAAGAACGCCTTACGCGGGTACAAGCCCCTCCGGGACTGCTGGTGTAAAAGTCCCCCTTGCGGGGGGTGGCTCTGCTCGTCCCGTCGGGGGGTGTCCAGTGTGCCTTTATAGGACCCCCCAGCTGGGGCTCATCCTCTCGGAGCCGAAACAGCTGGGGCCACACAGGCGATCAACTTCTTCTATTGGTCTCTGGGAAGTCATGTTTTCAGAGGTTGGACATTATCTTTGGTGGGGCCATTCGTGTGTGCTTGTGGGGAAATGGTTCTTACTCCTGGCATTGGGCTGAATGAACCCACAGGGGGTCTCTGGATCACATTCTCTGATGCTGAAGTGCAAATGTGTACAACATTAAAAATGATGTCCAGCTGTAGGCTTTAAAGTGTGGAGAATGAAACTGACTTCTCACTCTGGGCTGCCCTAAGGACCTGGTGGGACATTTTAAAGATGCACCACATGGCTGACAATCATGACCTTTGAGAGGAAAAAAGTCAAAGCACTGTCTTGAATTTCAGTCTAAATCATTTGATGCAACAGAACTAGTAAATAGGGATCCAGTGCTCTGTTAAACATGCTCAGGTTCAAACATGCTTATTTGCCTCCCAGTTTATTCAATATAAATTAAAGCTTGTCTTCGCAAAAAAATGCAAGTTTACAATCAGTAGTTAATGCATAATTAAAAAACATGTAAGACCATTGGTACTGGTAATAATAAAAGAAAATCCACACAATATTTTTTTTCTAAAAACGAATTTACTCTCACTCTGTAAATGTTTTGAGAATCAATGCTGCAGATCTAACACTTCACTGCTGAGTGGTCATCCCAAGGATAGTACTTTCTCTTACT